CTTTGTAAATCGTCCTCTTTTCAATTGTAAACTTTATTCCAGTGTTACGCTAAATACATGTACTAAATACTAAACAAGCGCACATATCGTATTCATTTACAGCATCGGATTTTAAAACAATGACTCGTGGAATCACAAAGAAACTGTTAAGTACGTATTTCACACATTACCGAGGACCGCGGTAGAGACCGGTACAGCGGTAGAGACCCCTAATTATAAGCAGTCCGCGGCTCTCCCCGGCGTTCTGCGGTACACCGCGGTAATGACCGCGGTGCACCGCCCGTTTGATTTCCTACTCTTCCCTAAGTCAGATTTCAGTTTACCATCTTCACCAGCCAAGGTTCATTTATTCCTCCATCACCTCAACACCACACCTTAGTAGATGATATATAGCCAATGTATATTTAAGTGCGGCCCTCTCTGGAAATACTTAGAGATATTTTCTTCAATGCATTCTAGCTGCATCATGGACAAAATTGTACAGTAAAAGTTTTCTTCCCAGCCTTAGATTGTGCTGACATTGTACTATATTTGACGCTAAAATTCAATTATGTTAATTTGTTTCCCTATTTTCACTTTACATTGTACTACACTAAAGAAACACAGCTATAAAATATGGTCACTGTACATAATATATTTTCTCAGTATAATGTGAACAGAGATTTTCAACCGTCATAGCAATTGTATTAACAGTATTCCTCTGAATAATTTCAATATTTGCACAGTCCAATCCATGAGGCGGAGGCTCTGTTCAGGACTCTGTGTTGTACGATCGCATGGAATCGACTGCAATGCCTGCATCGGATCCATATCAAGTGATAGTTTACATACATGTAATAGTTCAAACAACTGTAGTTTTTGTTCAGTACTAGGCTACATACCATAGACAGTCTTGGCAAGTGAGAACTGAGGAAAGGCCGCCAAAAATTGCATCAGCAACACAACACTACATTTTATTTATAACCAATTGTCACATGTTATGCCAACCTTGATTGGGCGCATGCTTGAGAGGAACCTCCAATCAGATCTATGCATTTTGCCGAGGTGAGGTGAAATACGTGTCTTCTCAATGCAATCCCACATGGGTTCGTGAGTGAGTATGTTTACATCGTAAAAACCGCAGGAGTTAGATGATGTCAGTTTACATGGTCAGTTTAAACAGTTCAGCTAACATGAGATTAAGCGGTTCAGCTCACGTACATGTACATGTACAAGCGGGAAACATGTTCAAAATGTGCATTACTTGCATTACAACGTCAATTGCACCCCATTTACATTGTGGTAATGACAATGAGGACTTTTTACATGTCCATGCCTTATCTGTAAGAAGAATTGTGCTTTCTCATTGGCCAATTTGAAATCATGAGAAAATAGATAATTAACTTGTGATTGCAAAGTTTTAAACATTTAACAAGAGTAATGGATATATTGTCTGGAAGTACAAAATGAACATGTATCTAAATTCACTCAATGGATTAAGCTGTGAAAAGTTGGCATTTGTTGAGGTCACATACTGCAATTAATCTCTGCATAGATGTCAATTTAAAAACTTGAGAAGCAGGACTACTGTAAACCTTTTTATTTTCAGGAAAGACAAATTATTCTCGAATTTGGAAAGTCAAAATTGCAAATTTTCGTAGCAATGAAAGTTTCACCAAATTCTGTCTTCCCAAATGCCATAAAATAGTCAGCTCTCAGGAAACTGTTTTTATACAGTACTACAAAATTAAAAAACACTCTTGTCTAGTTTATAAAATCAAATAATAAACAACATCGTCACAAAATGAAACTGATTCAATTATACTTCTACATGTATGAGCAATATTAAAAAAGTTGACCTGGCTGACGAATCACTGTAACAGTATTATTCTGTCAGTTCAAATCCAGTTTGTTTTTGCTAAAATTCTATTCACAGATCCAAGGTTTTCTATTTCTGGTATTAAATAATGTTTTTAAAATAATTATTGGATTTCTGCATGAACTTGATACGAATTCAGTCATCCTGCATTATAGATCATTACAGTTATAATAATAATGAGTTCCAAACAACTCATGTGTGTTTGCCGTAGTTCGCTTTTATCATGACATGTCAATTGCTAACTTAATTTGCGGCCTGTGCCTCATTTACAGTCCCACTGCAATGATACAAAACATGTGATTTGCCATAGATTCTTTCTGTCAATGTGAAAGCTAGGCTTGGAGCGCATATAGTCAGAACTGCCACAGCAGGATAAAGGTGTATTACGTCACAATGACAAGATCACAAACTGAAGTGGCTGAAATTGAGTTTATGAATTTATGAATGTTGTAAATACATAGTTTGAGATACCCGTTTTCTAGTTCACTATTTTGTAAAACAACTTTGAACATTTCAGTAATGCCGAATGGATACTAAAAAACTTATCATATACACTGAAAAACTGTACATGTACATTTACAGGTGTCAGTGCTGCAGCATGGGAGGTGTCAGTGCTGCAGTTGGGCTACTGTACTGGTACTACATTTTCTCAGTGTGGGCACATAAAATGCTGCATAGAATATCCAGTGTGCTATGCATGTCCTGCATATTCAAATTATAATATAATGTAAATACTTAAAAATCAGAACATTAGTTGTGTACTCAATCAATCAGTAACTTTATTCTCTGAGGTGAATACAAAGCTAACACCAAGGCACTGATATATCACAGTAATGAACAAAATACACAGTACAAAAAAGTAATTTGATAAGAATGATATCTCTATTTTTACTAATTAAACAACTCGCATTATCATAGCAGTTTGTTTATGACCCGGAAATAGAACTAGTTCAACTACAGTTTGTACACTGATACTGCATAATATAGGACAGTTTACTCAGCTGAACTGTCACTCCCATATCATGAATGTGACATTGATATGGATGCATGTTTTGAGGCAGTTCATGAATATAATTGTGGTGTGATACCTGTATTATTATATTCTACCAATTTTATTTCATTCTACCCATGAGGGCTCACTGCTCACTGCAGTGGTAGAGGGGGGGGGGGGGGGGGGGCTAATTGCATGAAGTGCCATGCACCTCATAGCTGTCACCACATACCTTAGTGATTACGGCATGTTAACCCTAACCAGTGTCTGGTTGAGTTAACATTTGCTTATACATAATTCCCATGCCCTGTGTACTAAGGTTATTTTATGTGAAATACAGCTGTTGATTCTCAGGTTCTCAAGAAATGGGTTATGTGATGGTAGACATTGCATTCCTACACTAGCACTGTGATCATTTAAAAAACATGAATCTATTTTCTTATACATGTAACTTTCCTTCAGTGTTTCCTGATTGTGGTACACATATAATAAACAAACTGCATACATGTATGTAGCTAATTAATATTCATGAAATATAATCTGTCATTAATTGGATGTAGACAATCTGTGTTCCAAATTTCTGTAGAGAAAGAAGAATCATGTGTCACTGGTTAACCTAGGTTAAATCAGGTTCATTGCGTACATGTGTTCCTGGCATCTCAAAAAGCAATTCATCAACATAAAAATTAATCATCAAGTTAATTATTAAATAATAAACAACAAATAGTAAACAAAATGTGGCGTGCATGTACTCCAAGTGATGACATCATAGCGTAACACAGTAGTGGTAAAACATGGCACTATGTGCGCAACCAAGTGACGCACGCAAGTGTCAACAATTTGAGATGAATGATAATTTATTTCATAGTTAATACTTAATAGTATTCAAACAACCAATATACCTACGTTGGTATCGGCAGCTGTGCATGTTGATGATTAACCGAGTGGTTATAGGTCAGTGACATGGATAGCACATCAATATATTTTGAACACATTATAAAGTCACGGCAGAGACAAGTTAGACTTTAAACAGTCTGTGTCTATCAGGCTTATAAAAACAATGGCTACCACTCAGGTTCCCGGAAACCTGTTGCAGTGCTTTGGACAGAATGAAGGTTTGTCCCCGTCACGATACCGAACACTTCGGGTACTATGTATCAAATACTTGAATCGGGTAAGGTTTATGTTTCACCATACAATGTAGTTACCTACTTTGTATGTTATTATTGTTACTAATTCCGAAGATAAATATGAATTATCGTTTGAATCATGCGTTGTTTGGATGCTTTATATGATATAATGTTCAACTTTCATACCTGTGTTAGTGATCACCTCTATATAAAACCATTTATATTTATAGACCATTTTTCAAGAGTCTCAAGGCATAACATATGAGCAACCTTGATACAAAGCCCACCTGTCTTATGTGACCACCCATTCAGCAATAGACTATAATAATAATTAGAATTATGTGAATAAAACAATTTTTAATTTTGTCAAATTATTATTTGATTTTGTTCAACTCAATTAAATTTATGTTGCAAAAGCATACTGTTGTACTAGACCAGAATATCATTTTTATCATTTCACTACATTTAATACTGTAAAATCAGTATTAGAAGCCACGGTTTCTATTAAGGTAGAGATGCAGGTTCGTGGGCACTTGGGAGTGGATCTCCATATAATGCACTATATTTAACTTTTAACAAAACGATAATACATTTAAATTTGGAACTGTTACAGCCATTTTAATTATGAGCATTAGCAAACTTCTTACTGAGTGAATTGTTATGCAAATTAGCCATTATCTCCGCTTCTTTTTTGTGCACATCCCAGAACTTAAAAAAAAAAGCTCCTAGATGCTTTGACCTTTTGTTTTGAAATTTTCACAAATGATCGACAGTGTTTTTATCTTCAAAACGCCGTCAGGGCATTGTTTTTGGTTGAACAGTGTTACAACAATCGTACAGACAATCAGCCTGGGTGTTAATTTATGCATAAACTTGAAGTATTGAAATTTGAGCTGCTGCGCAGCAAAATTGACAACTGGTAGACAGTTTTCAAGACGGCACTTTCTTCATAGTAAACAGATGTACCCATAAACCAATTTTGACAAGAAACAGAAGCATGGTTTTGAAGCTAATTTTTTTAAAATCACTTTTGACCAAAAAAGCACATTTTTGTGCATATTTCAAACTACAGTGTCCATGAATAAAAATACTAACAAAATTTTAAAATTCATACAATACCTGTCAGGTAAACTGCATCTCTACCTTAAATGGTACAATGTACAATGCAATGGAGGGGATGCGGCTTCTATTAGAACATCTACACAAAACAAGAACACTGAGTTTTAATTCAACACACTTTTTGGGTGCAAAACCGCTGTAGAAAAAAACACTTGCTTTTACGGTGACTGCCTTGAACTGCTTGTACAGCAAATATGTATAGTGTTCTGAAGTGCTCAATAAAGTCTGTAAGAGTAGTAAACCCAAATTAAATAATTAATTGAATGTGCATAATTTTAGCAGATCTCTTGTTGCAGTGATGTTTTAAATTGTAGTTAAGTTAGCATTTTCACTGAGTTTTAATTCAACACACTTTGTTATCAGCAAAATAATTATGTATTAAATGCCCATACATATGTATTTGGAACAAGTGTGATGTCATCACGGACAAGTAAATCCCTGTATAACACTAGTGATTCAACATGCCATGTACACTAATGTAAGAGTTATTGTGATTGGCTGTCACTGATGTAAGAGTTATTATAATTGGCTATCACTAATGTAACAGTTATTGTAATTGGCTGTGTTCATAATTCACTTTTTGTCATGACAGAAGTTAACCGTTTTGGAACAACAACATGTCAGCATTCTGACATTTTAATTCCTAATTTCCATATTTGAAAGAGTAAACAACATGATGTAAACAAATGAGCTACGTTTATAAGTGTCCCATTAAATTATATGTCAGAGGTCAGGGGTCATGTTTTTAACTAACCTAATGGAAGTCGTATAGTAAATCATACCTGATAACAGTGGATATATTTTATAAGTCTTTCTAATAGGTTCACATAGGTTATGTGGAATGAAAGAAATATTCATTAGGAACGCATTAAACAAGACATCTATCAGTTTGTGAAAGAAGTCCCTTGAGTACATTGTCAACAAGTTGTGAATAGTAAAATAGAAACCTGTCATATCTGAATAGGCATGAACTTAAAGGTTGATAGGGCACCCATTTTCAATGCAAAATTTGGTAAAAATGCCTCTGCCTATAGAAATAGTAGGGGGGAAATCTGTATTATTCGAAAAACAGTGAAGTTGAAGCTTTGTAATGATACCTCATCAACTTATTGTTGGCTTGGTTAGCTTGAAATGTACATAAACCTCTGCTTTTATCATTTTAGATAAACTAATACATGTACCGGTATATATATATTATAAACATCCTGTTTTGTCACAATGATTCATAAAGGTGGATCTGACAAAGATGCAGTACTCAAATCGTGTATCCCATTGAATGATGTCAGTCATGTTTTTATTAAACCTATATGTATGAATATGCATTAGGCAATAAAATAAAAAAATAAATACATCTAGCCATCCATCCGTCCATCCATCCATGTTTTTTGAAACATGTTCAACATATGGTGTGTACTTCCCTCACCTGATATCGATGTGACTTTTGACCTGTACATTGTATGAATCCTTGTTGTGATGATAAATACAACGTATTTGCTTCGTACAAGGGTACACTCTGAGATGATTTGAATATATATCGGTTAATTGTAACTATGCATGTTTTATAATATTTTAGTACATTGCCATTGCTCCATGCCATCTATTGAAATTACTGCTGGTCACAATAATTTGCAACACTATCTTACTTCATTTGTTGCCCCAGAAATTAATTGAAAACTTAACAAAAGCAGGATTTTAGGGGCGATACCTGTATCAACACTGCAACAGTATTTGATCTGTGCAGATGGCTGCTTCCTGAAAAATGTTATGTATCTATTGATAATAAATTAAATCCATTTAATGTTGATTTTTACTGTCATGGTATATCTTAGAAGTGGGATAAACTCTCTTTTTAGACTAAAACCATGTACATTTACGTGTTAACATTGTAAGTGTTCTAACTTCAAAATTTCATTTATCTTTCATAAAGGGAAGTCGTGTACGTGATAAGTGAGATGCATCATGGGAACACCGCCATGTTGTAGTGACACTTCATTAATAAATTTGAGATACATTGAAATTCACGTACACATTCCCTTCCATTATGTACACAGTTGTCTGTAAAGCTTATCCACACAATTGAGCCAATGTCATGAAATTGACTTTCAGTTCAATTATCAAATGTGGCACAATTAACAATAACAATGCAAATGTATAACCAACTACATGAATTCTTCTGGGAGTATTAATTAAATGTCATATTAATACATTCTGTTGGCCAGTCAGTATAGAATGTCACTCGTTTTAAGCTTATTGTTATTGTTGCGCCCTCATGCCATGGCCATGCGCCCCCTTACCCTGGGGAGCAGATTCTCTGGCAACCATCAAATTCTGATCGACCAGGGATCACATGTGGCCACAGTCTTCAACTGTGACCTGTCTGATAGTAATTTTGGCCCCAAGGAAGCCATAGAATGCTCCATTTTAACTTAGAATTATCCACACCCTGGTAGGAAGAACCCTATCTCCCCCACTCGGTGGCTTCGCTGAATTGCAGAGCTCCCTCTAGCAGTTTTTTTCTAAAAAAACTCCTGTGTACATGTACATGTATGTTGTTATTTGTTCAAGGTTTATTGTGTTAAAGATAACAGTAATGATCATAAGTCAGGTTTATCATACATTTTAGATTATAATGAACTGAGTACAGTGTGTAATGCACTCTGTGTTGGTGAAGACTAACCATAGAATATGGTTGTTAACATTTAAAAATAATTAATATCATTGTTTTTATGATTTTAATATTCAGGATCGTGGCAGTCAAGATTCCCTAGATAGCAGATGGACGTTGCCAAGAATGAAAAGTTATGATGCAGTAGTGTTTGATATGCTTAGAGTCACGCCGGATGACTTCGCTGTAAGTAACCTTTGAACCTAAATAACTTTCCTAACTTTGCACGTATAAAGTGTAAACAACTCGCTGTAAAATTCATATAGTACCCCCTCTATGGTGGAATGACATTTGAATGAATTTTGAGGTCAATAATGACCATTGAAATCAATTAAGAATAAAGTTGTTGAATTCATAACTTTATTGTTACGTTCATTTCGACCCCCACCAAATACTATTTGATGAGTACGCTAACATGCGTACTACACTGCAGAGGCTTTAATTACCCAAATTGCCTTTCACCTAAAATTTTACTTTTGGACCGATCGATGGCTTCTTGGCCAATGACAACAGTTCCTACCTTTGGCAACATCTGTTCACTAGGCACAAGCATATACAATGTACTCAGAAAATTTTTCCAACTTGTGTCTGATTGGCTGGTTTGCCTTTTTCTTCATTTTGTATATGACATAAGCATTTCTGCCAAGCAATGACGTACAATATTGTGTTGTGTACATCACTAATTTGTTTCATTTTGTTAAGTTTAACACTCATCATGCAGACTCTGTATACTTTTACATTGAATTGTCCAGATTAAAACAGTCTGTGTTGTGAATGAGTCTTATAAACCACACCATGGTTGTGAGTTACAGCTGCTGCGGAAAGTCTTACAAGTTGAATTTTGACAAATTTATACATTAGTCATTATCTCTGTGATTTGGGAATGCATTATGGGGATTTACATCATCTGTGACTGCTGGTCAGTTGATGCACAAGTGACTTTGCTTTATCACCGTAGTTCAAGTTCATACCTGCAATGAATCATTTCACTGATAACTTGAGGCTTGATATAAATCTTGCCTAACAATCCACACTGTGTATATTGCCATATGGAATTTTAATTATTGACTAACCTTTTCACCACCAGACATTTTCAACCACATTTTTCTTCACTTTTTTTCTTATATTCTTTAATATTTCTGGAAATGAACCCTAATTTTGGAGCCAACAGTTAAAATTTGAGTAAATTTTCAGTTTTTACTGAAAAATTCAGCTATTTTTTTCCAGTCTTCTGATAGAAAGTGCATACTATAAACGAGTCAGACTATTTTGTGATTAAAAGAAGGAACTGGTGGTGAAAAAGTTAACAAACATCCAATAGAACAGTGCATATATATCTAAATTAGAAAAATTTCATATTTTAATGTTTCATGCAATTGATCCTAGCTATATAGAAATTCAAATACAATGTAGACACATATTGGAAAATTATTTATTTGTCAATGTCTAAATTTCCTTATTTCTCTAGTGTCTCCTGTGACCTTTCAACTTGAACCCTATCTTAGCTAACACTCGTATGAATCATGGCTTTACGTTAAATAAAGTATTATCATGTGATATAAGGCCTGTATGTGCTCTGTGTAATTGGAATGCAGAGATCAACAATCATGACTTAACTGTACAGGAAATTAACTCATTTCAACCTAAGCCTTATTTTAAATGGTGACAATAGAAATAGTGAGTAACAGGAAATAAAAATGATTTATATTGATTCTCTATCGATTATAAAATGACATTGTCAACTGTCTACTTATACAAAATTATTTATCTATGTGCAGGTGTTGTATATATTGTGTGTAATTTCAGGGTTTTCCATATTTACCAGATTGCATTCATAACACTGTAAGGCGTATGATCTTGTAGAACACATCTACAATCAAAAGTGTGTTTTTGTATACTGAATTATTAAATAACCTATTGAGTGTAAATTGGGGTAAATTTTCTGTAATTTCTGTCTTAATTTTGGAATAAAAAAACATAACGTGACATTACTTCAAAATTTATTTTATATTAAAAAGAGGAGACTATAAATGTGGATGGTGCCTGAGCTGGCTTAGGTACCAGAGAAACACCTCAGTCTGTAATTTACGTAAAAATAACTTGTGGTATTAATAGTATGTGGTATGTACTGTGAGAAAGTTATTTATTCACTGAGATGAAATTTTGTTATTTTCACATATAAGTGAAATCTGCTAAGATTAAATCCATATGAATGTCTGAAATTACTTGTAAATTTTACTGGGAAAATTTGTGAATTTTTAAAACCCAGTGGAAATTTATACTGCAAATTGTCAAAGCTATTTTGTTTATGAACACATATAAATACTAGAATTAATTATTCGCTAAAAAGACCTTTTTTTTTTCACTGATTTTTGAATGTGAAATATAGAAAAAAAGGTATACATGTATCCGCTGGATTTTATTTCCACTTACCGGTAATCATCCCTTCAGTGAAAATAAAGTATTACAGTACAAGAATATAAAATTGTGATTATGATATACTGTATTTTCTCTATGAGTAGCGTATGCGATTGTGGTGAAAACTAAGGCTTTTATTATCTCTGTATACCATAAATGCATTCGTGTGTTAACAGGTGCTTTTTATGGAGCTTATATGGAATACCCACGCATCAGAAAATTCACCATAAAGTGAAATTCTCGAAAGATTTAACTTCAATGAGCTTACCACAAAATGAAATACTACTAAATTTACCCTGTAAAATCTTAAGAAAGATTGACTTCATCTTGTAGCTTAAATTAGAAAAGAACAATCACTTGGCTCATCCCATGTGGCACCTGACAGATTACTGTGAAGTATTAATACTTGATTCAATCCCTGCGGCAACTCACAAAGATTTGCATAAATCCATTAATAGTTCACTACTGCAGGCATGCATAAATCTAGTCTTGTGACTGCTTTGATGTGACCACATCGATTACACCTGTTAACATCAGTATATTAGCAATGTATGTACTTGTATCCAATCAACAGCTCAGCATACATACATTCCATTACAGTCCCTAAATGAGCCACTCTTTGAAAAGAAAATGTTTAAGGTGTAACTCCTATATTGTGCTCAGTAAAGGTCTATGAAATAAATAACGCCACTTTTCCTGTTCTATCATTATTACTGTAAAATCTGTATTAGAAGCCATGGTTTCTATTAAAATCGTACAATACAACAGAGGGGATGCGGTTTATATTAGAACATCTACAAATGAGAAATTGTGATTTTTTTCATTTTTAATTGTTCAAAATGAATGTGTGACTTCTATTAGGGATGCGACTTCTAATACAGATTTTATGGTAATAGCAAAATTGTTCAAAATCTGTGTTTTGGATAGTTTGATTCAAAATGGTGGGCGAGTTTATGATTGATTTAAATATGTTTCTGGGGTCAGTTCCATACACAAGTATTGTAATAACGATGTGGATTATTTATTTAACCTTATTACAAATAAATTTGGTACATGTATATTACAAGGCCAGTCTATAGAGGGACTCTGAGCATGTACATATTATGGGAATGTTTGAAATGTTCACATAATTATTTTATTTCTTTACAGAGTCAGATTACTCTTCTGGATGAACCAGTTTTTAAATCCATTAAACCAGAGGTAGGTTCAAGTAGCTAATATTTGACAAGTTTTCACCAAAACTCATTTATTCGCCCATTTATTGTATTTGTGTTTCACAGATATCGCTATCACGTTGTGCATTTATCATGATTCTTTGCATATTATCATCACACTTTGTAACACACTTTTTTTGCTCTGCGGAGGACTTTGTCAAGCAGGGCTTATCATACATGTATGAGTGATTGTCCGTCGTCGTCTGCGTTAATATTTTATGTTATTGACTTATTCTTTGATACTTGGTATATACATTTGTATGTTTGTCATAGATTTGTTCATTTCATGATGATATCTTTAGTTTTCTAATTTTGGTGAATATTTTTGTCATTGTTGGTAAAAAGGGATATTTTTGACTACTTGTTAAAAACTGCATGTCTCAGATTTACTCATTTTGTGATGATTTTTTCAATTCCTAATTGAAATGTACTTTGCCAAGAGGCTGCTAGTCCAGAGTAAGTTTAGACCAACACTGCAGTTGTTGAAATGTGCAAATATATGAAGTCAAGTTTCAACGGAAGGCGCTAAATCAAACTCTGCCACTCGTAAATTTAAATATTCTTATATTCTTAACGCAGTCATACTGTGAACGCTTGAACATCTATAGTGATACTCAAAAACAGTACAAAGACCAACACAGCATTATGATCTGAAATGTTTGTTTTGCTTCTTTTTTGTTGTTGCAATTTATCAGGATCATTTCGACAGAATTACATTCCTAATCCCATTCACACATTTCTCGTGCAGAATGTTCCACAGAAAGCGCTGGTATGGCTTCTTGATGCTATTGTGCCAAAGAGTGAGAATCAAACTTGTATAAACTTGGTTTAGAAATGTTTTACCGGTAAATAAATATGTAAATAAATAAATAAAAAAACAAAACTATGAGCAATATAGAGTATTTGAAAAAAATGCATAAATCTTTTGATTAAGGTGTAAAATGTCGTCTGTGGCAGAGACGGCAAACAAATGGCAGAAATTAGTTGAGGTTTGGAGAATGATTCGCAGTATGGTAAAACAAACATGCGTAATAAAATAATTAAACATTCCTTCATACTTGAATAAAGGTAATGTCACTTGTAGTATAGCTGATGGATATTTTCAATATCCCTGTGTTCTCCCCATCTCCTCAGCACAAGGGGGCATTTGTATTGTGGAACACCAAATATATCTACACCAGAAATTTGAAAGTCGTAGAATTGTTGTTGAATGAAACAGATAAAATAAGAAATTAAAAGAAAGAGCTACAAGACTCGTGTTTGCTTCCCAAATGGTGTTTATTCGCTACCACATGTGTCCATTCATTCTACTCACTTATGTAACTATGACAATTTAGAACATTGGATGAGATGGTGGTTGAGAATAGAGTGCTATTTAGAAAGCAAAAAAATTGGCAGAGAAATTCTATTGGCATAACTGTTGTGCTATCAATCCATTGTGAGGGTACAACTACCTCGATACTCTCAGATTGACGATTGAAAGCACTCAATACTGTGTCCGCATTAGAATATAAGTGCATTCAGTAAATGGAAGCATTAAATATCGCTTTCTTTCAACTGCTGCATATAACTATTTTTTCAATAGACCTAGCATCGCATGTGAACCAACCATTGGTGCATGTAACAAAAAAATCAATGAAACAGAGTGAGAAGTGGTTTCCTCAACTGCTTTGTCGGAAATCTAGTGCTTTCCTGTCAAAGTATTTATATTGAGGCCGATATACTGAACATGTAGTATTTGTGTTGTGCTGATACAATGGGCCAATCAAGTACGTTCAAACGAGTAAAGTGCATGACATTTGTAAAAATGTATCTAATCAAAAAAAAAATTCTAGTGCGCTTTATTAAACGACCATTATTTATGTTTCTGTAGTTTATACATGTACATGCCAATGAATATAGGTCACTGTCTATTATATGAGAACTAGTATTATCCAGTTTTCAAATTCAATTCCACTTTATTGAATTCCAATACTTCTACTGAAATATGCATAATTAGGTATAATTATATTAATAAGTACAGTTGACATTGCAATATAAAGTGGTTTAAGGTCATTTCATTTATACATGTATCTAGCAACTAGGGATAGCACTTTATTTTGTAATATTTAAATATCAAAATTGTTAAATTTAGACACAAATCATCATTATTCTGTTTTATACCATTTCACTTATACATGTATCTAGCAACTAGGGATAGCACTTTATTTTGTAATATTTAAATATCAAAATTGTTAAATTTAGACACAAATCATCATTATTCTGTTTTATACTGTAACAGGGTCTGAAGTATATTTATAAATTTTTAACGGATTTAACAACAACATAATAAAACTTACAATTGATGCTTGTTTCTGGTTGAAATTTGTTTTTATATTATACCTTGGCTGAATTTGAATCCTCAGTTACATTTCTAGCAATCCATAATTTATTCTGTCATCATTTGAATTCCCTATACATTGTACATTTTGTAATAACAGAATTATCCTTCATTTTTTAAAATTTAATTTATTGCTATCATTACATTTCTGGAGACTTCAAATAAAATATTCAAAAATTTTACCTTTTCAAAGGCTTGAAATTTTTTTGTTTCAACTATTTTGATCAAAACCTGTAGGCAAAGGAAAACAAAGACAAACATTGAAAATTGTGTAAAATTGGAGCAGCAAATATTAAAAGGACTAACCTTTTCACCACCAGTTCCCTTTTTTCATCACAACTTCAAAAAATAGTATGAAGACTGGGACAAAAATAGCCTATTTTTTTGAGTAAAAACTAAAAATTGTGTTGGATTCATTTCAGAAATATTGAAGAATATAAAAAACAAAATGCAGTAAAATTTGGGGTTGAGAAAAGTCTGGTGGTGAAAAGGGGAGATTAAATTCAAGTTTGTCATACTTTCATTGTTATAGGTTCAGTTATCATAATTCAGTGAAAGAAAATGAAAATTTAGGATGATTTTTCAAGATACATTTTTTACACTGGTTTCTATTGCAGGATTATTTCTTCATAATTCAAAATTCAGCTTGTTGTCATTTTGCATCATAAACAATTACAGGTTTCCCATAATGCATTGCATGTGCAGTAATATGCTCAGTAGAGCAAAATTTGGCCCAAACTGCCTTAAATAAACAAATTCTGATCTAGCTGAACAGATGTAGGTGCACTATTTGAAACATGTCAAAATCCTATATTATATAAACCTAACTATATCAGTCTAGTCAGGGTATTTCAGTGAGTGCCTACAATCATGCAGCTGTATCATAACTGTCAGTGCTCAAAATTTGGTAGCCGGATAAAAATCTTTTATTCTGGTGACCACACGGAACACACAAAAACAACATGAGGGGAACATTTTATTGTTCTGTTTTGATTTTTGTTTGGAATGATTTTTTATTTAAAGAAAAAGTCAAGTCACGCCAAACAACAAAATGCTTCCTGAAGAAAGAGCTAAACAAATCACTTTTCATTCTCTAGATATTCAACTTTTCATCAGTATTATGTAGTCCGCCATCTTGATTCTCTAGCAAAGCATTGTGGGTAACAGAAACAAAGCTATGTTAATCCTCCTGAGACTAGCCCAATGATGTGTTACTTGACAGCATACAAAATTCAGACTGTTTGTAATTATACATTGCTGTATATATTATTGTATTTCAGGAATTAATAACATGTGCCTGGTCATCTAAAGATAAACATAAACTTGCACCAAACATAGTAGCCTTCACAAGACGATTCAACCATGTAAGTATTTTGTTGATTTTTCAAATTTTGTGTAATCACTGTACATTGTATTTAACACAAGGATATATGCATAAAGCCTATATCAATCACGATATGGTGTATACACTGTGGTGCTTTAATGTGATCTGTTGAAATCAACACTTGGTACTAACGTATGGATAAACTGCCAATTATAAAAACTACACTTTCTAGAGTTGACTCAATAACTTCACATCATCCCCACATCATTCCTGCCAATTGTGGATTTCTTTCTGAATATATGGCTATCCAATAATTGCACAGAATACAATTCATTATTG